AGGATTTTGGCTGTTTAGCACACATGTAGACGAGTTTTGAAAAGTAAACAATGATGAATCAGAATCTCCTGTGGCCAATCTTAAAAAATTCATAACTTTTGACAGAAGAGCTATACAACCAACTCCTTTGGAGATTAAGACTAGGACATCATATAGTATCTATTGGCAAAAGATAATCGAAATCGGAGGATGTCAGCTAGGGATCTTCACTCTTGAGTATCAGCATACCTTGTCGATCGTATATTTCAAATTTTTTATGTTTTAGTTGATACTCAGGATGACCACTTTTTTCCAGCTTTGTCAAAACTAAATAAATTTTTTCGATTATGTGGAGAATCTTCAACTGTTCATTCAACAGTAATTTTGTGTGCAACATGTTATTTAGATCAACATTCGTGAAAGTCAGCTGACGTTTATGATCTTCAATGTCAGACATGGACATGGTAAATTTGATTCGTTTATCTTCATGTTGATGTTGTTGCTGTTCATCATCATAGTCTTCAAGATGTTGCTCTTTGTTTTGTATTGTGTCAATGTAATAGTCGATTTCAAAATATGATTGTTCAGTTTTTAATCGTTGTAAATAGATATGCACTTCGCCAGTTTTATACAAATGTTCCATCGTTATTAACGCATTATCCAAGGTATTCGTTTCATCGATCGATAACCACATATTAACCAGCTGATTATTATCATTCACTATTCCTGAAACAACAGCACAGTTAAGCTTGTGCATTCTGTAATGACTGACTGAAAATTCAGTGCTGATAATTCTCTAAAAAGTATCTACTATGGACGTCAGAAATGTGTCGGATCGTGTAAGACCAGAGCCAAGAACCTTGATTCATAGAAGAAAAAATTACTGTTACATATGTTTCTTTGCGAACTAGCACATCACAACACTCTAACTTATGTTAAACACTTATTTTATTTGCACCGACATTTTCTGAATAGGGGACTGCAGCACATTGCCGTTATACTTCAGCCACGCTGTCAAGAACTCAGCGAAATAATTTCCTGGATCTGAATTTTCGTAGTAGATTGTTAGAAAGATGGATGTGACAAGTTTTGTATTCACAAGGAAAGTATTAATTAGGGCAAAATGCAAAAAACCTCAAAATAGCATCTACTACTCTAAGCTAGAAATCCAGATCATGTGGGCCGTTGTTTATTAAGACAGTTTTCAAGTTGTTTGACGGCTAACGTACGCCTCCTTCACCAGGATGTGATTATAACTCATTGAACATTGGGAACTGCCTTTTCTCAGTAAAACTGGCTCCTAAACGGCCAGTGGATCTGAACGAATGGTAACACAGAAACGCAAGATCCTTCTATACACCATGGATGGATGAATGTTCAGAACCCTTTTCTCTAAAAGAAATATAAACGACATACGTATTTGTTTCAATGATTCATCGAGATTGTGTAAATTCAATAATCTTTGAACAAACTCTTGTAAATTTTTTGCTTTCAAGATAAATGGTTCACAAACGTTGTGGGTAACAATCAGGGCATTCAATATCATATTATTTCTTTCTTGTAACTGAAACAGTGTTGTCAAATTGTCTCTAAGTTCTTGAAAACGTCGTCGACCAGATTGGCTATGCCAGTTAGATTTTTGTAACATTTGAATAACAGATGAACATTCAAATGTCACAAGTTTAATAAGTTCAAAGTGACGATTATCAAGACCTTGAAATTGTTGTTTCAATATTTTGTATGAATGAGCGATATCTTTCAGTGGACTGTTTTGATTATCGCTGTTAATTGTTTGTAAATGCTGTAGAAAATGGTCGTCATTATCGTCGTCTTCATACGTGTCATTAATTATATTAAACATTTGTATACATTCGATAATTGGTTGGATAAAACTGAAATATTGATATGTTTGAAGCCAATCACATATGTGATCAACTTGATTTTTATCAATTTTGTCCTTTGCGCTACTTGAAATAAGATTTTTAACTTCATTTCGTATATCAATATTGTTCGTGCGAAAAATCGATTTTAAATCAGACATTTCAAGCAAACTGATATTACCAGTCAATAGTTTATCGATAAATTTGAACACTTCCTTTAATATTTTATTAATATCATCTTCTGATAGCTGTTGAGCACGTTCAAAATATTTTTCATAGAACTGAGTAAAAATACCACGAAATAGAAAACATGTAGAAAAATTGCTCATTTTCACATGATACCATAACGTCCTTGGTGCATTACTTGCCAGGTTGTTTATCAATATTTCCAAATGGCCACTTTTCTGGACTTCAAATTCACCAGATAAAACATGTTTATTAATTTGTACATTATCTTTTTTATATATTTCAATTTTATTGCAGATTATTTCAATATTACACGATGAATTTTCACATGCTAAAGACCATTGAACGAGTTGTTGACCGCTTAATCTAACAGCTAGTTTATCGTGAATTTTTTCATCAACTACAAAAAAATTTGATGGACAAGAGCGTTTCATTTGTAGGATAAAGTCAGGTGATTTGAGATTAATATCCAGTTCGCCGGGTTGCGTGATAGCAAACGCTGTCAAACAATTGAAGTTGTAACATAGACGGTGTAAATCCGTAAACGGTTTTAACGACTTTATCATTCTCTCCACAACCGTCCGAACGAACAATAATTGTGCATCTTGTTGCTGTGTTTGATGGATATCTGTTAGCAATGTCTTAACTTCATCGACATTGTACGTTTTTAACCATTCGATAATGGGATGAAACGTCTAAACAAACGAGAAAACTTATTCACTAATTAAAATATGACACCAATGCAAGAAAGGAAAACCTGAATTTGGAACCTATTCATTACAGTTCTACAAAATCCATCGGAATCTAAAAATCCAAGGTTCGTTTTTTTCCCTTGCATAAACATACAAAAGATGGATATAGCTAAATGTACCTTTGTTTAGGTTAGGTAGCGTTAATCTAGTAGTGAACCGAACATTACGTTATTATAATCGAGTAGGAGTGGGAGGCTGGTATCTAGCTGTCCCCGATCACACAGCATCTGTCGCACTGATACCGTGCATGTGCCCGTAAAAATTTCTTGTGGGGGGAACGTTTGACCTTTTTTTATAACGAAATTTTTGTAGCTTCGTTAAAGTTTGTCTAATAGTTAAGAATTTTTCCTCGTAGGTAAGTCCAGGAGCTCTACAAGCCGATCGGATCAAAATATCTCGGTTCGCGGATCTCTAGGGGGTCTTTAGAGTGCAGGTTCTGAAGGACCCAATAACTCAATAATGGCACAAACAAATATCAGACTCGTGGTCAGTATCAAAAGATACACTTAAAACACTAGGCTTAATCGGAAAAGCTTTTAATCATCTGGCAAGGTTCGCGCGTCAGTAAAATGCTCATAATTTTTACATCAAATAAAGCTCATTCAAAGCTGCTCAACGTCTTACTTTAAAGAGACGCGTCTCTCTACAACAACAAACATCACGTAACTTTAAACATCATTAAGCTCTTAATCTTCCAGAATTAATATAAAGCTTAATTACAGATACTACTGACTATAAAATCATCTCATATACGCCGAGATCGAGGTTTAAGAAAATGACCACAGAACGGTCATTGTTAGAGGTGTCGCATATGACCTCATCTCTGGCTTCGCGTAACTTTTCAGGCTGTCATGAAACAGGTTGAGAAATCTAGCCTGTTCTGCTAAGCAATCCTATTTTTCTACTCAAAAAAGAGTGAATTCACAAATTTTTGAATTCGAAATTTAGCGGACACTAGGTAATCGACTATGATGAATCCGAATATGACATCCGTTTTGGCCCTTAGGCCGGGTTTCTAGAAAACCAGTTTTTCAGAAACCTCTCAAAAATAACAAAAGCCTTTTTTAATGAGGCATGATTGTAGCCCACAAATTTCTGATTAAAATGAGACGTCTTTCAGCTCTACATGACCTTTGTTTGCAGAGTTATACAATTTAGAAGAAAAGCCCTAAATTAATTTCTTCTTATTTCGGTTGCTTTGAGCTGACAATGCTAGAAACTCGGCCTCTGGAGACCTAAGGGCCCAAACGGATGTCATATTTGGATTCGGCATAGTCGATCACCTACTGTCCGCCAAATTTCGAAAAAAGAACGATTTCACACTTGGGGACCTTTCCTCATAAGTAGTATCTGTTCTACGAATTGTGCAACTCTGAAACTTTTTTCGCATAGATTTTGTTCATGTAGCCGGTCTCAGCGGAGAAAGTTCTCGTAAGATGAAAATAACCATTATCCAAAAGAAATCTCTTACATCAATAAATCTTTCAAACCATTTGAACCATTCATTTGTTTGTTCAATAAAGTGCTGAAAATTATCTGGCGGAGTCGTAATATCATTCGGTTTGCAATGCATTATTGAGCCGATAATTGTACTAACATTCGGAAATTTATATTGAGTACGGTCATTAGACGGTAAAACTTGTTTTAAATCCTTACCATTTAAAACAAAATTTAAAATATCGGTTTGTGTCGCTGAACGTAAGAGAGTTTCATAAACTACACGAGTCCCTAAGAACAACGACAAAAAGTTTGACATAAGGTTAGCCGAAACTGGAATTCACCCATTTGCGGATACATTGCAGAGAAGTAACAGAAACGTTTAGAGAGCCTTCATTAAAAATTCTGTGTTTCTTAAGGGTATCCCTCCCGTCTTTTTTGGAAAAATTTTGGATTTTGAGCTGAGCATAGCCTAATGTAGAGGAAAGTGTGGGCTACAAAATAAGACCACTCCCAGTACTCCGCGACCATTGTTTTTTCAAAAAGTTATGGAGGTTTTACGTTAACCTAAAAAGCTCAATTCCTTAGTTTCATAAACTTTTCTCTCATTTTCTGTACATCCACAATTTTTCTTACACATAGTCTGACAGACGACGTTTCACATTTTTGAGACGTTTTTCAGTATTTTTCCTATAACCCACCCAGGAAAGGTCTCAGAAAAATTCCCAGAAATTACCTCTGAGGAATGACCTTACGTACCTCCGGTAAAACTCATTCGCGTAACTCATTTTGAACTCATTCGGATGAAATTTAAGGGGATCGTAACAATGAAATACCTAGTTTTCTGAAAAACTGGTGAGCGGCAACAGCTGAAAACTTGAAATAAAAACGAAAAAGTGCTCCATTGAGTTTCCAATCAGTTCTGAAATTACGAGGCCCTACCGACTTTTAGTTTTTATTTCACAGCGTTTCTACGGAAAGCCCAAAAAGAGGGGAGGGGTGTAACGGCCGCTTGCCGTTACATCTTTTATTCTCTGTCGCTTGAAAAGTTTCAGAAACTTCTTCCATGCGCTCTTTATATAGAGAGAATGAAATCAGTTAATAATTGATTTTTATTATTATTTTGT